ACGGAAACTGTGAGTTAAGCTGAGAAAGTTGGAGAGAACAAGAGAAAAAGCAGAACTTTCATTCCCCAGGAAACAGTTGACATGTCAGAGTTTTATCTAGGAGTGGATATTCTCCACTGGAATGTTAGCACTTTAATGGAATTTTGAGGAGTTCAAATCATTTCCCCTTGATGTCATCAAGTATAGAGTGAAAAATTGATGAAAACCTTCTTAGGAAAATAAGAATATTCTTCCATCTGGTTGTTAAAGGAGAGCAGGACAGTTATGCTTCTATTTCTGAGAAATGCTGAGATGAAATTTAAACATAATAATTATATTTTATAAAGTAACTTGAAAATTACTGAAGAGTCACAATGAGTTTTGAGTTTTAGGTTATCTGAACTCTGGTACCATCATTATCATATAAAATAACGTATTTAGTTCTGCCAACTAAATAGCCTGCCTTATACTTCCAATGACCCCCCATTCCTATCAAGGTTTTCCATTCTGTTCAGGATTTTCACTTTTCAAAAACTTACAGGGTCTTATTACTTTTCTTTTCATTATTTTCTTCTTTCAGAAAGAAGAATGACTTCATATTTTTAAATGATTCCATTTTTTTCTGTCAGATCCGTGTATCTGTCATTTCTTCGGTGGAAGAAGAAAAGGGGGGGAGACTGATAAAGAAATCCTTTCTTGAAGTAACCTGAATATATTTAATCTTATATCGAATTTGTATAACCTACACATGATACAATGGAGGGAGGAAACCCAGATGGCCAGAACCTATCACCTCTGAGAGGCAGAGCCAGGAGATGAGAAGACCATAAAAATTCCACAGTGAGATGTGTCCTGGGAACCTCTGGAAAAGTTAGTTCTGAAAGGGGGTGGGGAAAAAATTAGGTATGCTCTGGGAAAATGTGAAAAAGATTGTTCCTTACAAAAGGGGTGGGGGGGAATTAATATACTGGCTTTTGTTTCACTAAATACATATCAAGATAAGGGGAGGTGTTCTAAACTCCCTTATCTATCCCTGTATGCCTGAGAGACCTTAGACGCTGCTTTGAACCCCTACATGAATTGTCTCATCTCAATAAAGTATTCCTTTTGATACGGTTGGTTTTCAGAAGTTCATTCTTGTTAATTGAATGGGAAAAAGTTCTGTAGCCTGACATCTTAGCTTTATGCCAAAGGAAACATACTGGAGAAAGTTCTTTGTTCTGTATCTACTCCTTCCCAGCTAATGAATGGGTCAGAAGCTAGTAGCATATGTAGAACATAGAATAACAGGGTTGGAATGTCCTTGGAGGTCTTCTAGTCCAATTCCCTGCCTGTGTGAGATCCTATGCCATTCTGGACTTTCTTTGGCCTTGATGGGATGGATATACATGATCATAGAAAGAATAACAGAATAAAGAACAGAATAATAGAGTTGGGAAGGATGCCAGAGGTTCAATCCCTTACCCAAACAGGAAACCCTATACCATTTCAAATAAATGATTGTCCAATGTCTTCTTAAAAGTCTCCGGCGTTGGAGCACCAACAACTTCTAGAGGCAAGCCATTAATTGTTCTCACTGTTAGGAAGTTTCTCCTTAGTTCTAGGTTGCTTCTCTCCTTGATTAGCTTCCATCCATTGCTTCTTGTCCTACCCTCAGGTGCTTTGGAGAATAGGCTGTTTCTTTGTGGCAGCCCCTCAAATATTGGAACACTGCTATCACACCATCCCTAGTCCTTCTTTTCACTCTGTCTTCTTAATTCTATCAAATGGCAATGTAGTGTTGACATAGCATGTTTTCTATTTTCAGTGTGATGCAAGTCCATCTTAGAAGTCTTTTTCATAACATGATCACTATTTCCAGCATCAGTGTGCTATTGGAAAGAGACCTCTGCAAAGGATGAGACATTATGACGTATGTTTCAACTGGAACAATGTGACCTCCCTCCAAAAAACAGGGCCACAATGGCAAAAAAAAAATGACTGTACTCCTAACTACACTGAGTGGTCAGTCAAATTGAAGTACATAGTAACACAATTTGTTTGCCTACCTGCTTCTATTACATAAACTAAGCAATGGTTCTCTTGGTTCTAAAAAAAAAATCATTTGGAGGCATATACATACATCCAAACAGATTTTCTAGATTTAGTCACTATCCAGTGTCTTTGTCAAGTAATTGTGCAAACATTAAGAGACATTAAGTAGCACTACTGCAAGACAGAGGAGATACCAAAATAAAATCATTGATTGGGTGACCTTAAACAAGCAGGCCTGCTCTTATACAGCAAGTCTAGAAAAAAGATAGAGGGGGACAGGCTGATTTCCATTTTTTTCAAAAGCCACAGATAAACATCTTTATAGGTTTCCAGATGAGAGGAACACTGAAAACAGTTTTTTTCTAAATCAAGAAGTGTTGTGAAAGTTCAAAGACTCTTAAAATTTAAAAAAAAACTCTTATCACCCACCATATCATACGCTTGCAATGGTATGATTTGCAGGGTAACAATGAATATTGGAAAGCATAAATGAGTCAGAATATCACAGAACAGTAGCTATGAAATAGAACTTGAAATAGACTTATACAAAAGATTGATTCCCTGACAAATAGACTGAGAACAGAGGGTTTGAATACACTACTAAAATCAAACAAAGTTAAAGACATTATTCTAATGCATTGGATGTACTGTACACATTTTGTGCAATACTGTGCAAGTATAATGGGACACATGGCTCCTCTCACTCAGGGCATACAATCTGAAACAGAAAATTAAAAATCTCCAGACACCCCACACTCATGCTGGGAGAACAGATGACATGCATTTTGTGTTTAAATGAGACCAGATGACAATTTGGGTGAAGGTTGTCTTTTGAAAGTCTCCCTGGGAAAGGTATTTTAAAAAGAGATGCTGAAGAGAGAGAATACTGGGTTTTAAGTTACTCCTCATAGAAACAGTAGTACAGCTGTTCACTAATACCTCAAGAATGGGATCAACAACGTTCCTGACCATTCTTCAAATCTCAGCAATGTCACCAATCTTTGCAAGGCAGAGAAAGGCAACATTGTGCTGACATTTCAGTCTGAAGACTCCTAAATAATGGACAGACGTTAGAGACCCAAAGTTATTAAACCCACTAATCTGTCTCACAGAGGTGTTGGGCCCAAAAGGCAAGGTCCAATCTTGGGACATTCCCATTCCATACATTTATTTGTTTTCTTTCTTCAAAAAAAAAAGAAGAAGAAAATATACTGGAAAAAAGACAATTTTATTATATCACCCAGTGTCTAGCTTGTTAGGACTAATGTTCTGATGAGATGTGGGCCAAAGAAAGCAGTCAGACTGTGGTCTGCTCAAAATTAATTAAGATTAGAATCAACAGCTTTCAACTTTCTGGATCTCCTGTTTCATATTGAAACTAATGGGAGTAAGCAAGCTGACATACTTCCCATGTGAAAGGTAGGACTCCTTTCTTATTAAGAATAAATCAGGGCAGAATCTTTTAAGAAGGAGCGTCATATTTTGAAATGAGATATTATTCACACATTACATTTTACATTAAAGTTTGAAGGCTTGACTGCAAGACTTCCTAACACTTGGATTCAAGATATCATGATTCTTAGCTGTGTGAACACTGAGTCTAGACCAGACCAGAACCAAATGCTATATGCTTCACAAGCTTTCAACCACTCACATCATGGATGTATCTTATAGTTCAAAATCAACACAGATGAACTTAAAACCATGACGTCTAGGCCATGATGCAATAAGAGGCTCTGTTACCAGAAAGCTAATTTATTCCAATCATCTACTTGCAAAGTATCCTTTCATCTCAGGACTGTCAGGCTTCACACCATAGGCAAGAATAAGCTACTTAGGCAAGCTCACAAGAAAAATATAGATATCAATGTCTGGAATACTCTACCCGACTCTGTAGTTTCTTCCCCAAACCCCAAAAACTTTAACCTTAGACTGTCTACTATTGACCTCACCCCTTTCCTAAGAGGTCTGTAGGGGGCGCGCATAAGCGCACCAACGTGCCTACCGTCCCTGTCCTATTGTTTCTCTTATTCTTCTTTTATTTTTCTTATATGTACCCATTTCATGTATTCACAACTATGTATACACTTATACTTATTATCTTGTAAACAATTGGCAAATCAAATAAATAAATAAATAAATAAATAAAATAAATAAGTAATTACTGACAAAATGGGAACCGATAGCCAAGAATTTCAGCAATTTCTCTGATTCAAGAACAAGACTTGTATACAGAAACAATGTTCAAACCTCCTTGTCTTTCCCTTTCCTTTCCACCTTGTGTAGGAGACTATATTTTAGGTGAGTTGGACTGTCTGCTTGTCTTGTCACATTTCTATCTTGTTGTTTTTTTCCCCACTATGTGAGAACTAACTTGTACAGGAGAATAAATTCCCAAAATCTAACAAACATAAATGTGCTTGGCTAGGAGTTAAGCAGCACTCTTTGCTTTGCTAAAGTGGAAGAGGCGAAAGCAGAAATGAGACCTTGCACCTATGAGCTGTTTCACAAATGTCTCGGAACTGCTGGAAGTCATCTGTTGGGGCATTGTGAACATTTTGTGATAATATCAGTTAGAACTAAATCTGCCCTTAAGATTATTTAAGAAATAAGTGGTGGATTGATTTTGCCAGCATCCTAAGCCCCTCCAAGTATACAGGGAGGGAAGATAACAACATTTTTATTTTATTTATTTATTTATTTTGTCAAGCAATTATAAGATAACAGGTATAAGTATAAACATAGCTATGGATACATGAAATGGATACATATAAGAAAAATAAAAAAGAAACAATAGGACAGGGATAGTAGGCATGTTGGTGCGCTTATGCACGCCCCTACACATGTAGGTGAATATGTCTCTATATAAAAAATTGCATTAAGTACACAAAACTGCAAATGTCAAAGGAAAAAGCACACCATAACACAGTTCAAGCCATACTTTAGATGCAATATTTATCACATAATTTGAATCCAGTAAATATTACCTTCTTTTTGCTGCAATAGATCTGCCATTTCTTCTCTGGCGGGAGTGCAAACATTGCCTCTCTATTCTTATCTGTGAGATCCAATTCATCCTGGAGATGGCAAGTGAAAAGACAATGTGTGAACAACAGCACCAATAGTTTTTCAGAGCTTTTTTTCTGATCATCATTATCACCTCAGTTAAGTACATAGAGGTGTAATTTCCTCAAATAATTGATATTGTAAAATTATCCTTTATATTCCAATGCACTAAATAATTTGCCCATTGTACTCTTCAACACAGAGGCTTTCTTCTCATACGTAGAACATGGAAAATCAATTTCTTTTCATCTAAAGGTTAAAAAAAAAAAACACCTCTTGCGGGGTCCTATTAGCAGCCATACCAGAAAGCTCTTAAACAATCTTGCTAATTAGATCTTGGCACAGTTCATTTTTGTAAAGTTTTGAATAAAAGCCTCTATGTGAATATTCACCCACATTTTTAACATTTCAAATATACATTTAGCTCCAAAAGTTTGCTTTCCATGATCTATATTCATATATAGAACCTGCACAGTGGCAGTTTCAGAATCAATGAGAGAGTAGGATCTAGATCCCTTTGTGTTTGGTTTGCAAACAAGCAGTAAAAACATACATTTAATAACGACACAGAACTACCTCTCTCTCCAGAAGCAGTTTTAATCAGTGTTTTCAACAGAAGAGAATGCATGTTGCTCAGGGCTGAATTGTAGAGTCTTTGGTGCTCTCTGAGTTTGTTTGCTTGCAAATGTTTCATTGCCCAACTAGGTAACATCATCAATGAGACTGAATGTAAAATTTGGTCCCTGTTTATATATACAGTACAATAGTAGCTTGCTGGCAAGTGTTGGGGGTGTAATTTCTTCTTTAGTAGTTCCTTGTTTGGGATATTATTTTTTGCTTGATTGTTTGCCTGGTATTAATCCTGCTTATCAGGGTGTTGGCTGCTGAAGAGGATGTGTTTTCGTTTCCAAGTCTCTTCCAATAATATCCTCCTAAACACTGAAATACTGTAGGTGAATTATGAGCCAGATTTTATTCTTACATAGCATCTGTTAACTACTTTACTCTTGTGTAGAAATTAAAAGCTGTACTATACAATAGGAAATGTTTATTACTAAAAAAAAAAACCCTCTTTCTTTAATTGTCCCCTTCACATAAAGCATCTTAGTTTTTCTGCTTTTGGAAGGAGAAAGTTAAATAAAGGAACTCTCTACTGAGAAGGAAACCAAAATTAAAGTGACTTCTGAGATACTGAAATTAGCTTCATTCCAAATTTCGGACAATACTTCTTTAAGACTTGGACTGCTTTTTTTTGGAGTCAATAACTTGGGAAAACAATGAACTAAAATTGCACACTGAGCTTGGTAGCAGCTGCTGACAGACTTAAAGGCCCACGGATATTTCAGCTACAGAAAGGTTTAAAAAAAAAGAAAAGACAAGGCTAGGTCAATGCCAAGAGCCCAAGATAAAAGAAGCCAAGGGGATTTCAGGGTGCTGACGCTAGTAGATGTGGCAACGAAGATATTTCAGGTATATCTCCCTAAATGTGTAGGAAGGCTGCAAGCCATGCAGAAATGGTTAGTGAGACTCTTTTCCAAACAAAAGGGCAGCCAAGGAAGGCAAATAATTTTCTCTTTGCAATACAAAATTAGAAATGCTTGGGCCAGGAGCACATTCTTGGAGAGATAGAAAGAGAAAAGGGAGAAAGAAGCTGGACATCACAACTTCAAATGAAGAATCTAGCAAGAGGTCCAGTGGGAAAAAGAAACACAGGAGGACTTATGTTTGTGGGTGCTGGGGAGACTAACTTTTTTTAGCAAAAGTCCTGCACAAATCCACAAGCACAAGCTAATCCATCTCAGCAAAATTTTCTAGCAAGGTACCCTTGCTTGAGGGAGGGAACAAGCTGAGAACTTATTTACTTGGCAATGATCAGCTAAATGGATAATACTCTCAAGTCATTAAAAACATCTAAGAAAGGGAGGCATGATAACGTCAATAGCTCAGCTAAGGAACATCAGCTGTAAGTTGAGAACTTTCATAATTGCCCAACCTTTGTGTAAGGGGTAGGGTAGAAATTGTAAGTGATTAGCCCACAAATTACTACTCCAACCATTCTGGTCCTGAAGTTTCCAAAATAATTTTGTTGATGATTCATACAAGCGCACTCTGCTAAGATAGATAGATAGATAGATAGATAGATGATAGATAGATAGATAGATAGATAGATAGATAGATAGATAGATAGATAGATAGATGATAGACAGACAGACAGGGAGGGAGAGAGAGGGGGGGAGAGGTAGATAGATAGATAGATAGGTAGGTAGGTAGGTAGGTAGATAGATAGATAGATAGATAGATAGATAGATAGATAGATAGATAGATAGA